TTACACAATATAGAAGAAGAGGTAGCGGTAATTTTTGCGTACTTTGTATAAAAGATAGTAAAATTTGCCAAAAATCAACGTTAAGCCCCAGCTACTTCAAACGTGCACTTTAATTGAATTTGCTACAAAACTGCAAACTAAATCAAATTAAAAGTTCTGAAAGTTTTAAGAAAATTTGATGATTTTTGATACGTACTACCTTCTTCCCGAAGTACGATTTGTTTGTTCAAAGCAATATATGTATGTATTTCCTCAATTTCAGAGGTTTTCGAGAAACTCAATCGTATGTAAGTATATTTGCATACATACATATGTACATTATACTACATATATCACTCCCCACAAAAAAATCGGTACTGTTTCTCCATTGGAATTATAAAATCTATTATATTTTAAAACCTTCACCAAAACATTTCGGAAAAATATTATGATTTACGTCAGCTGGACCGATTTGAAAATACCTCCTTGAGTTTTTTATGAATAAAAATAGGTTTTTTAAAGTACCTTTTTTTTAAATCACCTCAGATGGCAAACCAGTTTAAGCTTAAAAAACTGAAAATTTTTTAGTCCAATGTACATACATAGTACATAAATAGAAAATTTGCAGGTATTTTATAAAAATCCGCAAATCTTTACGGCCCTGACATGCCTTCTTCTTTTGAGGTTTCCTGAGGTGAATTAATGTAATTCGCTTTTTGCTTGTTACGCAAACCTTCTAATCATAATTATTTCACATTTTAAAATTCATAAAATTAACTATTTAGGATTGTCTGAAAAGACTAAGAACCATTCAAAATAGTAGAAGCTACCATCCCAAAATACCGTCTATTATATTTTGTTAATACCAATGTGGCAACGCTGCTTCTAAAATGTACAATTTACAATTTTCAAAAATGCCTGTAACCGTCAAAAAAGTTTGAAGTGAAACTACCTTCAATTTTTTTATCATGCTAAAGCCTGTTCTGTTACAAAAAAAAATCAAGTTACTGATGAGGAAAATCGATTGATAAATACGAAATAATGAGTGGTCAAATGAAAATGTGCAAAGATTTTTTGTATCAAATATGAGCAGAAAAGCGTGTTACTTAGGTGTACGCGCGTATGAGTAACATTCTTTCGTTCCTAATAATCACCATTTCTTATGTTCCTAAGAATCACCATTTCTGGGTTACAACGACTCGATCGTCATCTATTTCGTAATGATTCGCTTAACTTATAAATTCAATTGAAGTTAATTTTTTAACGGGGGGTAGTATAAAAAAAGCAGTCTATATGGCATAGTATTGATTTCATATATCTCTATACCAAGTTCCAGTACTCTACCACAAATACTTCCAGAGGTATGCACTATGAAAAATTCCGTTTGTATGGGAGGTGCCACGCCTCTTTGTATAATCGATATAAAAGCTAGCCTACCTTTTAAGTTGGGCTAAATGACACCAGTGTGCCAAATTTCATTAAGATCGGTTGAGTAGTTAAAAAAGCATGAAAGCGTAACAAACAAACCTTCCGCATTTATATCAGTGAGGATTATCCAGTACTGACCATTCAAATAATTTTTATAGATGAGCCTTACACAGTCCCAAATAGACAAATACAAAATATTACACCAGGGCATTTTTTTTTTTGCTTTTGATCTGCTGTACTCAACGAAAAACCATTATTAAGTAAAAAGTTACGCACTGAATACGCTCTTTCTCAATACGATTTCTTAGAAATTTGTTTCTTCTGAAGAAGTAAAAAAGTATATTTTATACCCACAAATGTAAAATAAGTACCGATCAACGACTATTACAAGAAAATCCACGATGTTTATATAATACACGAAATTCAGTTACAGTTTTAAGTAGGGTTGCCAACAGTACTATAATATAGTATTGTACTATTTTTTCAGTCTGCGTACTATATACTGTTGGAAAAACTAAAGTAAGCAAAATACTATATTTATTCAGTTATATATGTATTTCACAGTGCGTAGTTAACTCAGAATCGTCAGTTAACTACAGATTTTCAGTACAAAAATCTTAACTTCGAACTGTGAAATTGGCCCTAAGAGGTTGAATCAAGGCACATTAAACAGGCAGTATTAGTAGAGCAGCTGATTTGATTTTTTTTTTTTTTAATTATTTGGTCTCGAAAATGTCAAATATTTTTATTTTCTTCTCACAAAAACTGTAAATTGTTAAAATCTATTTGCATGTGAAACCTTTTTCCCTACAAAACAAGCGATTGAACAGCAGCTTTTGGAACGTTCACCCAACTAATCAGCACAACCGCCGATTACTGGGCCTTGCAAAGGACTGATCAATTCGAGAAGCAAACAAATTTACTAAGAAAGAAAGTTGCAACAATTTATATTTTTTCCAGTTTAAATTTTATTTTTTTACTTGTATATCACATGACACGCTTTGACTTAAAACAAAAAAATAAGAACCGTTTTGGACACTTTCGATACCAGAAGCAACAACAAAATACACGCAAATGTTGTTTTTTCTCTAATGCTACTACCTGTTTGATATGCCTTAGGTTGAACGAACATATCGTCGTTTAAAGTACAAAGCCACGTATCAAGAAAATGCAAAACCTCGTATGTGAAGTTGCCAAAATTTTATAGGAGAGGGTATAACTTATTTCAAAACGTTTCTCTCTTTTATCCCTAATTATCTCTTTTTTTTATCTAAGTATCGATAATTTAGTATGAATGGATAAGGGCTTGATGCCAGAAGGTTCCAGTGAGCAAATATCTTTTTTGGCACAAATGTCAGTTACGAGGTTTTGCAGAACCACGATACGCGGTTTTCTACTTTAAACGACGATATGTACATTAGGCTGGGTCGATTTTATATGGGGGAAAATAAAAGGCATTTGACGGTATTGTAACAGCATTATTATGTTGTCTTAGGTCTAAGCCACTTGTTATTGGTCACGAAAGATTAATTTAAAACATATCTTTACCCCGCGCAATTGATTCAAAGTGTAGGAGTTTCGAAAATGAAACTTTGGCTCGTAATATCTATGGAATACATTAATTGTTATAAACAAGGCGATATATCAAATTAAATTTAGTATCTCACGTTCATATATAATTTTTTAATAAGACTACAAGTTTTTAAGATATTAAGATAGAACTTTCAAAAACGTTTGTTTTCAATCAATTCATCACTAATTCAGCAAACAGGTGAAAAATATAAAAAAGTGAGACGAGATTTATTTCAAATGTTGTTATGTTTTCGGATGTTTACACAATATCAAAAAGACCTTGGATTTGGTCACGCCGATTTGGTCAGTTTTCAAAATCGTTGTGAATGAAGTCAAACATGTATTTTCCAAGATTAAGAATCGTTTTATAAATTAATAGTGGTTTCAAGCACATTAGTATTAACATACGTTAACAAAATACAATTACGGTAAGAAACGCCCATTGTTTCATTACACTGAGGAAAGAGTTTAGTTACGTCAACTAAATATTTTTCTCTCAACACATGATTAACCAAATCATACAGTATTTGGTTATAGTTACCAAAGCATGTGTTGAGAGAAATATATTTAGCTGACTTCTTTTGAGTGTAGTCACCGAAGTAGCACAATTTTCGCGGTTTCTAAATTTGCCGATATATGAAAGTAGGGGATGTGCAATAAGTGTTTAAATACAAATATTTTAGTTAATTCCATTATATGAAAAAGTGACTGTAGGTTAATGCAATAGTCTTTAACATATCCTGGGAAATCCTTTTGAGGACTCTCCAAGAGGAATAAAAAAATTCATTCCTTAGCACACTTTTCTGTAATCCGATTCTTTTGAAGAGAAATTTCTGTAGAAAAAAACTGGAGATCCACCTAAATTTTTCGATATAACTTTGGTAAATATTACTCGATCGGTACGTAATAAATACCAAATTTAAGGCGAGACTTACTGTTACTGATTTATGATAATATTATTATGAAAATCGTTCACATTATAAAAAATTATTTAAGAATAAAAAAAATGAGGAACCAAATTTTTTTTGTCTACTTCCTATATTTGCAATTTTCGTATTGTATGCATAAACATATGTACATATGTAAACTAATTAGTATTTCTAGAAGTTGTGCCTGCTCAGTGTTTCCATACTCATTTGCATAAACCAAATTTTTCACGGTGATGGAAAATAATGGCTTTTCTATTAGACCTACCGAAATTCTTCCTAAATTTGCAAAAATTGGCAAACTACTGCTAATATTAAAAAAAGATTAGAATATTTGGAACCAGCGACCTAAATACACCCCAGAAATATGAATGCTGATCTCTACATCTTTTGACTAAAGTCCAGTGCAATTATTAATAAAACAATTACAATTTGGTCGAAATACAGATAAGTTTGAGATTAACGATAAGCTAAAGGGAAGAAATGATATTTGACTTTATCTTTTGCGTTAACGGTTTCATTATCTAATAATATGCACCAAACCCTCTTGCTGAACCCAGATGTTTTAACAAGAATTGGTCTGATTCGACTAGTATGTATGCTGTGTGTCACTTGCAGGTCGATGCGCGGGCTGTTACAATTAAAATAAAAGACTAATATTTTGCAGGCTTGTTGTTGACTTCATGATACAATATATTTTCACTATTACCAAGGGATTTGATAAAAAATAGATTTTCGAGGAATGTACATACCTACATCAGTTGCATTGTCAAAAAATACGAATTAACGAGGGAAATTTTGCGAATAAATGAGATTTTTCAAGGGAGATTTACGAATTAATTCAAGGAGATTTAAGAATTATCGCCATTCCACTGTATTCTAAAATAACTGTTTACTATTTACCACATTAAGTTATACAATGGCAGGGATAATTATCAATATATTTTCACGAAATGTTTTTAAGAATTAATGTTGCGGTTAAAAACAAATATTTTGGAACCATTTTATAGTTTGTAAGAATAAATGTTAAAATAAACTAAAAAAATGCTGACTTGTAAATTGGATTGAAAATTAATAGTGATTATTCCGATCAAGGGTTTGTGTCCGCTCCCCTCTTATACCTGCACATTCAGCAATAACTGCCGATTCAGGTAGTGGAACAGGAAGTTCGGAGATTTGGACGAATCCCCAGGATGTACCAATATTCGAGGCTCGTACAGTTTTCAAAATATTTATGTTTTATTATAATGATTTTTATATTTATTTTTGTACATAGCGCCCTGCTGAAATGGAAGGCCGCATATCTGAGAATAAAGACAGGCGATCAGATGAGGATCAGCGTAAAATTGATCAGCAACGTATTGCAAGGAACATTATGCTTATGGCGAACACACTGCAGAAGAAACCTAACGATAAAAATGAAAGAGATGAACCGAACTCTATTGAAAGGGATAACCCAAAAGCTGATCAATCAGATTACATGCCAGAGTATGTTTTGGTCGTTTTTATTTTTTTATTTTGATAAACTTGTATTTTTCTTCATTCAGCATGCTCACATAAGCATATCAAAGGACGGGATTATTATATTTAGTACCTGAAAATGCTCATTATTACCACTGCATCCCAGAAATATTTATAGAACCGTTGACTGAGAGTCAGATTGTTATGTCGTCATATTTTAATATAAACACGTGCATATTAACAATGCCTTTGTAAGCTATCCTCATATTATTGGGAAAATATATATACTTATATAATATTTGTAAACTTCAACAATCTCTGGATTACACAAAATTTACCTTTCTATGGATAGATTCTCTAATTGGTTAACGACAATATTCAGATCGCAGTCACATAAAATAAAATAAAATAAAAACAAATACAAGTCTGTATACAACAAATGACTAAGTGATCATCAAGTCAATGTGCAGCAATGGTATTTTCAGATAGATTAATCGAGAGTTCTAGCTTTAATTTAAGCCAGGAAAGTTCTATCACCTTTTGTTTCGGCATAAGAAGTCTATCAAAAACAGCTTTAACATTTGCCGTACACTGAAAATGAAATCTGCGTAAATATAACGAAAACTTGCATACATCTTACGAAATTTTAAGCCAAGAAAGTTTTCGTTGATTGTACAAAACCGTTTTCGTACATACTACGAAAATATGAGACATCAGATCTTTAGTACATTTGACGAATTTAGTACTATTTACTAAAGATTTCGTACTATTTTTACGAAATTTTTGTAAAATGCACAAAATGAACGAAATTATTTTCGTAAAACCTGCGCTTGTTTCGTAGAATGTGCGATTGCTTTCGTTCTCCACACTGTAAAAAACATTGTACGAATTATAACACAACACTTTTATTTTGTTTTCATCGTTAATTTTAAGCGTTTTGGTTTAACAAAATGCAAATAAATGCGTTTTAGTGCAATTCAAGCCAAGGTAGAGTCTCTAGGCCCTCTGAGAGCCAGTTTTAGCAATTTTAAACCAAACTTCGAAACTGCTGTACTATTTTTTACTCCGAAATTAGAAAAAAAATTGCGTAAAATGTCGAATGAAATTTCGAGTTTAACTTCAGAATCGTAATAATTTAGGTCTCAAAGGGCCTAGAGACTTATACCTTGGCTTAAATTAAAGGTCTTGAATAGCACTAAACTCACTTGTTGTTCGAGGGATATAAAATTGTGTGGATGTTGCATGCAAATCATAAAAAATGCATTTTTCAAATTGAGGGGTTGAAATTTTTTTTTCGTTTTTTAAACAGTGGAATCGTGTTTCTCGTTTCAAAATCTATAATATTGGTATTATAAAAAATACCAAAAATATTTTTTTTAATGCATGTTTTTTTTCGAAGAACAATATTTTTGATCAATTTTTTTAAGGTCAAGGACTAATTGTGGTTCAATGGCAATATTTTTCCGTGAAAGGCAATTACATTAGCTTTCAAAGCCATTTTATTTCATATCAAAATATTGCTTCTGTTGAAAGCGCTGCGATTAATTCGAATGAAGTGTTAAAAAAGCACAGTGTGTGTGTATTTTTTTCAAAAACATATGATTCAACACATATGATTTATAAGAATATAATCCATTTATAAACAATATATAATATAATAAAATAAAATGCCTATGCTATTTGGGCGTACAAAATTTTTGATTCTTATTTATTTTCGTATGAATACGACGTATGCATAGCCAGAGGACAGAGAGAATTTAGGAATGCACTGGTCAAGGCGAATTTATATAATAAGGTAGTGTTACTACTAAATCAGCCCAATTCTAAATAATATTTCCACTGGACTTTTTCCACTTTCCGCAATCCTCATATTCTGAACAAGTTCGAAAAATTTCGAAAATGAAAAGTCGGCATCTCTAACGCAAGTGAATGGGGGAAAATTTTGACAGCCCGCGAGAATTTATTCACAGGTGAATTGCAAGCGAGTTTCAGACAAATATGTAAGTATTTTCATAAAATAACAAAAAAATAGTAAATAGTTCTTCTTTTTAGGTCAAAATCACCAATTAAAACAGCATTGCAATTGCTCATAGCTTAATGGAAACGCAACCCGCCATTGCACGCTCTGTAGTAAATTGTTCCTGAGCGATTCAGTTCTGCAGTTCTTATTATCTTCTCGAACATCAGATTAAAGATGTCACATGAAAGGGAGTCGTCCTGTCTGAAATCCCGTTTGGTGGCGAATGGCTCGGAGAGGCCTTTCCCAATTCTGACGGAGCTGGTGGTATTGCTCAACGTCATTTTACACAGCCGTATGAGTTTTGAGGGGATGCCAAATTCAAACATGGCGGCGTATAGGCAACTCTTTTAGTGCTGTCAATAGCGGCTTTAAAGTCGACACTTTTCTCGCGGGTCTTTTCCAAGATTTGGCGTATTGTGAATACCTGGTCTATGGTGGATTTGACAAGTCTAAAGCCACACTGATAAGGCCATTCAGTTCATTGACGGTGGGCTTCAGTCTTTCACACAATACGCTCGATAAGACCTTGTAACCTATGCTTAGAAGGCTGATCCCGCTGTAGTTGGCGCGAATGGCGGGGTCACCTTTCTTGCGGATTGGGCAGAGCACACTTAAATTCCAGTCGTCGGGCATGCTGCCTATTTATAGCTCGGTTATATAACTTGAGAAATAATAGGTTTAAAGACACTTTTATCCAAGTTGATAAATCTGACTTTAAACCAGTTTTGTTACACAAATATTTACCCGTATTGTGGCAAAAAATATTGGCTTAAATTTGTCATTTTGTTTGCCAAATATACATTCGCATTCGCAAAAGCACCGCATTGATTATTGCGATTGCGAAGGCGAATAATAATAATAGATTGACGCTTACACATACATATGTTAGTGTTTGGCCGAGCTTCTCCTGCGAAGGCGAATGTTAAATTTACTGCGGAAGCTCCGCGGTTGCAAATGCGAATGCGTATATTCGCAACAACCCTGATCCATAGGGCTACATCTTCTTCTTCGCATACTTCTGAGTGTGCCAGAGACGATTACACCACAACTCCACCTCCGTCAGATGCAACACATGAAATGGGTGGACCCATCTCCGAGTTTGCTCAGACCTTACGACTCATAGGCAGTGGACCACCGCGTACGTGGCCGCTTGCTGCACAAATCGAGCTGCCTCCACCATTGTGTAACATTGTGTAATAAAAAATTTTAAAATAAAGTTATTTTATCGTCGTTGGGCATTTGTGTGGTCATCAATTAACATTGGACGATGTCAAAAATTGATCACTTACACTTATTTAGCGGGACAATGTACCGCTTACAAGCGCGCAGATATGCCAAAATTTTGGCGAAAATCGACCTAAAAATTGCACTTTAAATTTATCATGGACATAAAGTAACGCATTATACATGTAAAAATAATGTACTTACATCGCATCCGCGGGACAAACCTATTGTAAGTGATCGTCACAGTCGCCGCCGCACATAGGGACGAATCGAAAATATAGGACGAAAAAAATGTTTACTCAATATGTACATATTTGACAGATTTCAATGGAAGTTGGTATTTAGGGGTTTTCGTTATCACTGATTTCGAAATATATATTAAATTTTTGAAAATTCAAGATGGCGGATCAAATATTGTGGGCTACTTTTAAAAAAAAAATTATTGATTGTTTTGAAAATTGGTATCCAGCGGCATTCGTCGTCGATGACTTCGAAGATGGTATTAAATTTTCAAATTTCAAAATTGAGTAGTCCACTTGCAAAGTGCGCTATGTAAATTTTTTTTTTTAGGTTTTGGTGGTTAACGTACCAGTATTTAAAGTAGTTTCATGTCCACTAACAATACAGTGCAAAATCCTTATATATCCTGATGAAAAATATCATCAAATGTTAGCTACTCTAGCAAAAGTCGCTATAATACTTACTGTATGTATATATACACTTTCAAAAGTCGCTATAATATGTATTGGACGTATTTATACAAGTTCAAAAGATTCCACCTTATGATGAACTTAGAAAACTACAAGAAAACGTGGTAGTTTCGGTGCCTAGTGGAAGACGTCTTAAAAAAGAAGCAGTCTAACCTTCATGGAGGAGAGAACGCGAAAAGCTTAAAAAAGTTGGCTATATAAAACTTACTGTTTCAAAACTCGCTATATTTCATTTCTATATATAAAATTTGCAAAACTACCACACTGCGATTTTGATTTTTAATGTTATTAGGCTCTTATTTATCCAAAATTTCAGATAATAAAAAGAAATATACAATTTGGATGTTACTTGTTGTTGTAGACGATTTTTTTTTTAATTTATGGCTTACTATTATAAAATTACATAACGTTGTTTGCAAGTGGACTACTCAATTGTGGATCCAATATGACCGACGACTTTTTTAAAATAAATTTAGATTGTATTGAAGCTTGATTCCTAAGAACTCTCGGAGTCACTGATTACGAATCTAAAATTTGATTTCCAAAATGCATATAATTATATGGGCAATTCTCAGAAACTTCGAATTTCTTTGTAAAAAAAATGTTTTTTTAAGTCGCGAGCATAAGTCTGAAATTTTTTGTATGCGTTCCTTCAGCTGCTAGGATACAAAATCCAACGTGGTGTAACATTTCAAAGCAATGCACCATACGTTTTTTACATTGCTTTTTTTTTGGAAGTGGAAAGTGGGTTTAATTTTAGTCCGATTTCAAAAATTGTCAACATATAACTTTTTTATGGCAAGGTCAATAATTGTACTGAATTTGGTACAAATTTATAAATCGGTTACCGAGATACACATACATCGAAAATCGAACGAACGGTGCAGATTTGCTAGCATGGACAAAATATGCCTTTGGGTATAATATATGTATATTGTTTTTTTTGTAATTTTTCTTACTTATTTCTCGCTCTGTAACTTTTTAAATAATAAATCAAAAGTGGCGCAAGAGGATCATAGTTCAATAGTATATTGTGCAATGGAGCACACACGTATTTGGCTAAATTTTCTAATTGCAGACCTTTCAAAGACGTTGTTTTTTTAACTGTCATTTAATGAGAGCACATAAACCTGCCACGTCTAGATCCCTGCGATATTCCAGAAAAACAATTTTTTTAATCAAAATTTCATTAAATTGTAATGGAAGAAATATAAAATATTAAATAGTACGGGTTGTTAGCTTTCGTAAGAAGAAACAAAAACCTGCTCATTCTTCGCAATTTTTGAATTAATGCGTTTTTGCTAATCCATAAAATCATTTTTTCATTTTTTGCCAGTGCCATCAGATCTGCACGATCAGTTCTATTTAAAAAAAATGAAGGGTCAGATTAAAAAAACTTGACCTGTAGACAATAGAGGTATATTTTTTTGAAGAGTTGCCACCTGTTAAAAAATTTGTCTCAAAATTTTTAATAAGTTAAATGAATTATAAGTTAAATGAATTATTAAGAGATGGGTATCAATAGAAACGTATATTAAAAGGGTTTATTTTTTAACTACATATAGAGGGTTGCCACCTGTTTAAAAAATCAAATCCCATTTGAATTAAAGGA